TGGGGAATCAGGCCTGCAATGTACCTAGGCCACTTTGAGTCCTGTTCTTGCTAAATAACTCCCTTACCCTGAATTGAGGACATTTACTGCAAAGTAACTTCCTAAAATCCATGCTAAACCTTCCAAGGATGAGTGTAACCGGTTCAACCACTTTTGCCTTTTCATTTGCAAATATCCCTCTTCTGTGATGTGATTAGCAGCATTGGCTCCTTTGTTTTCTGGAAAAGGTAACCACCTAAAAGGAACATAGTAAATGAGGACCATCATGCAATGTGCTTAGAAACCCAATAAAGGCCAGTCACAGCAAGGGCCAAGGCTTTGGCTCCCCTTGAGAGAAAAGCCATGCTGTCCCTTTTCCTCCACCAGACTCAGTAGTTTGTGTGAATGTCTCATTTCATCCATAATGATGCGGACACTGCAGGCCGGTGTCTGCATCACTCTTCCCTTTACAGATCCCTCCCACCCAAACCTCTAGAACTACTCCTTCATCACTTTCTCTAGAAGCTGATTCCTATAGTTTCCTCTATTTATTGCAGGATTTGTAAACTCCATTGTGAGAAGCAAGTCATAGATAAGACAATGGGTATGAAATAGTTTAAACTGCAGATCAATCATAACACCTATCTCATTATACTAACTTTCAAAATACTCTCAGATAAAATGAAACTTTTCCTGTGGCTGGTGGCTGACATTTTGCAAGTTTTAATACATTGCATCATCAGGCCCTGCCTTTATTGTGTTTACCTGTCCATCTTTCCCATTAGAATATTTTGAAAGCAGAAGCATAATTACATGGATATTATGATATTTCATGTTGTCCTACAGTTTCCTTAAACACTTTGTTCTTTTTGAGTCTTTCTTTCCTTTTCTTGCTCTTTTTGGGAGTTTTTTCCTACCGTGTCCTCCAGCTCACTGATTTGATCCTCTGCCTCATCCAACCTGCTTTTGATTCCTTCTACTGTGTTCTAGAGTTGACTTGCCTCTATTTCATTTAGCACTGTTTCTGAGGATTCCTTCTTTCCTTTAGATTGGAGGTTGTTTCTTTGCTTCATATTATTTGGGAGACTCTTTTTGTTTGCTTCTGCTTCTTACATTGATCTATTTTGACTTCCTGACTTTGTGAACCTCTATGGGAGGTGGCCTGTGAGATTCAGTGGTACAGTCACATTGATCATTTGAACTTGATGCTCTTGGGATGCCCTTTATGCCTTTTATGCTGGTTCTCCAGATGTAATTGGGTTTTGATTGTTGTTGGGTCTTTCTTTGGTGGGTCCTTCCCTCCAGCTGGTTGACTGAGGGTCACTCCGCCCACCGCATCTTGTATGCTGTTGTAAAGGTGCTTCCAGAACCAAACCACAAAGCCCAGGAAACAAACCCATACCCATAAATATTCTCCCCCATCACAATCCCATTATCAAAAGCAAATGAACCAGTATTAACAAGGGTGTAAAGAGATTAAGACTACTATAAGAAAGGAGAGTGAATATGAGATGAGCTAGTGAAGGAAAAATGATTTTGAGAGGATAGAGACAGGAGCACTAATAAAAGTAGGAAACCGGAGCAATGTAAAGAGACAAAGTAAAATTTATATCATAAATAAAAAAGGGAATGAAGAAGGCAGAATGAAGAGAAGGGAAGCATACTGTATTACAATTAAACAGAAATCTAAAAAAATAAAATAGAAAGAAAAAGGAAACAGAAATTAAATAAACAATAAAAAATAGACCCAAGTTGGAGAAAAAGTTCCACTACAGCACTATCAACAACAAATAAGCTAAAATTAATGTGAGTAGGATTGGAATAAGAGGAAAAAAAGAAAAAAAAAGTTAAAGAGATGTCTAGAGGAAATGAAAGTGATTTTGAAATGATGGGGGATAGGAAATACTATGAGTGAGGAACAAAAACTAGGCTAAGACAGGGAAATATTAAAATGTGAGATGAAAAAAGAAAAAAAGGGCAGAATGAAAGAGAAAAAAGAAAAAAAACAGGTTAAGACAAGGGAAAATTAAAATTTAAGACAAAAGGGAGAGGGAAACATTAAAATTTGAGATTGAAATGCAATAATAATGAAGTTCTGGAGATCAAATTGAAAACAATGCAACAACAACTACCCTATCCACAACCAATAAGCAAAGAGTGCTGAAGGTGAAGAGAGAATGTGGCTCTTTTAAAAGCGGGAAAAAAGGATGTAAGGTGACCATTGACAAGAAATTTGGTTTTGAGAGTCTGGACAGGGGAGAAATATTAAGAGTGCAGAATGGAAAAAAGTTGTAGCAAGAGAGAAAACAAAATGTAAAATGAAAATAATAAGAGGAAAGAACATAAAATGTGGTAAGAGAGGGGGAGAGCAAAATATATGAATTGAAATAAACTATAATATAAAACTAGTGAATATGGACAAACTTGCAGGACAAGAAATAAATTTTAAAAAAGCTATGCAGGAGAAAATATCGCAAATCATGGAGAAGACCATGGTGGATTTTGTCTTGGTAACATCTAGTATTGACCACTGTTTTTTTTCTTTCTGGATCTGTCCCTGGTGATGTCAGATGATGATGCTGTCTGACCTTAGGCAGTCTATCTGAGACTACTAGGGATCTCCTGTCTGTGGCTGATTCCTTCAATTGTTAATCTAGTCACTCTGCACTCAGCAGTCAGGCTTAAGCACCATACAGTGGGGCAGAATTCCTTCTGGGGTCGGGGCTATTGTTTCCATTCTTGCTGTTGCCCCTCAAAGGGGAGTGGTCTGCCTGAGCAGGATGGCTGCTGCAGTGTGGGGGAAAACTCAGCACCAGGATCCCTGAGGCTAGTCTCTCGGTTCTATCCCCAAAGCTTCCTTCCCCAGTCTCTCCTCAGGTGTCTCTCACCCACTCCACCCTGCCCCCTTTGCCAGAGCCCAGGGTAAGTGGCTGAAAATGAAACTTTATGCATTGCCCTTTAAATAGCTCTTTACATCTCCAGCTGCCCATCTCTGGCAGAAAGCAACCCTACTGCTTTTCACAGGTGGATATTATCTGTGTACTTTTTTGGGTTCTGGTGCTCTAGGTTAGGGATCCCAGCTTAGGGTTTAGGCCTTACACATCTCAAGAGGTTCCAACTGGCCATTTAAACATCTCTCTGGCACTCAGTGGCTGCCTGTGGATGCCTGGTCAGCCCACTTGCATCTCCACCACACTCCCTACCAGTCACATTTTGCTGAAGCTGTTTATTCTGTCTATTTGCGGTTATCAGGCTTCTCTCCCACTATTGTTCAATTGTTTATTCCACATAATTTCTCCACAACTTAGTTGTAATTCCATATTGGTCCTGGGAGGAGGTTAGTGTAATTTCCACTCACTCCTCTGCCATCTCAGATCTCTCGCATTCTGATACACTTTCAAGATTGAGAACCATTAGCCTAATCCAGCCTACCTACTACTATCAAATTTATTTTTCTTAAACCCTGCTTAACTGATCTCAAACTAATTTCTAATATTTTGCCTGTACTTCAATATCCTCCTACAACTTGACTTTTTATTCTTTCCAATATGTATTCTTTGTTTCCACAAAATCAACCTCATCTCTTGCTTTCCTGTTCCCCATACCACTCTCCAAACACAATTTGGTTCTTTCTTCAAGCCTTTGCATTGAATATTCCCAAATCTCGGAGATTCTCTGTAGTCTCCTCTCCCTAGTCAAATCCCAGCCATCATAACTAACAATGCCTGTAAACCCAGTTTAAGACCATAAATAATCACGGAGTTGTCTCTATTTACTCTAAGACTACTTCTGTCTCCTGCTTATGAAATCCTATTACAGTGTGTCCTCACTTAATATCATCAATAGGTTCTTGGAAATTGCAACTTTAGGTGATACAACATATAACAAAACCAATCTTACCATAGTCTAATAGATATAAACAAGAGTTAAGTTCCTATAGCATCTCATCAATGTTACAATGAAATGCTGCTGAACAAAATAATGTTATTCAAGGACCTGATGTACACTTAAAATCAGCACACATAATTTAAGGTTTGATTATTTCAACATATATTATTGAAACTGAAAGTTCTTATCTGATTCATATTTTCCAGTTATCAGTACACCTAGCACAGCTCTCGATGCACATAATACGCACTAAAGAAATATGTGCTGATTTTTTAATTATCCCAAAAGACTGGTGGCTTTTCCCCCAAAATGTCACATTGAATTGAAAAAAAGAGAAAAGAAGAAATTTTTAAAGGAAAAGAAATATGAAATACATTCATTATTCTAGATAGCACAGTACATGGTGATGTTAAAGATGTTTCCTGCCATTGACTGCTTAGCCATAAAGGCAAGGTAATTACAAATACCTCTCAATTACAATATAGGCCATTTTGCTGTATCATGTAATTATAACACTGAAATACAGTGCCTTGAATATAACAACTTTAAAAGACAACAAGTGAGTCTTAAAAGATAAATGTAATGCAATCATTTCAATTTATCCATTTAGTAACTGAACCACAGTGAAATTGTATGACTTGCCCAAACTCACAGAGCCGATTAGTAGCACCCAACAAAGACAATCACCTAGGCCTCCTGAATGAACATGAAGGGTTGTTTTCACTATGCTATGTGCTCAGTAATACTAAAATCAAACTGAGATATTTGAAAATGAATTCCTGTTAGCATAAACCAATATTTTAGGAGTCTCTCCCTGCCTTCCAAAGAAACTGAGGTGAAACATGCAATTTCATGAGAATCATAGACTGACATAGGCACAATTCCAAAAACAAGTAAAATTTTCTAAGACAAAGTATACATACATGTTATAGTTCTAAAACATTTCCCAAGACCACAGGAAAGATAGTTATCATAGTTAAATTCTAATCACCTGATCTTAATATTCATCTCACTGCATTGGTAAAATACATGTCAAAAGAATAAATGGACATATAAATACTAAAAGAAAAAGACACTCAATTCCAAAAAGCACAAATTCACATCTAAGGGTAAAACACATCTTTTGTACTCACCGTAACTTTACTTCCAACTATCTGCATGCAGTGGTCAACGGAGAGTGGTTATGGTGTAAAACAAAAAACGGAACAAAAAAAAAAACAAATATCAATAGTATTAGTAATTAGAAGATTTTCACAGAAGTGTTTAGTAAATTAGTAAATAGCTAATCCTATATATGCTTTTAACACTTTAGATCTACAGACTAAACCAAATCTGTCAGTATTAATTTCTATCACATTTCGAAAATGTATAAAGTTTGCAGAATAAGGTTTCTCAAGTGAAAGATTATTACAATTTGAGGATTTTTAAATGTACTATGGGATTTTCATACATTGAAATCTAAATATCAAGTAATGCAAGATTAAGTATAATTAGGCATCAACTATTTTATCAAGCCCATAGCCCCTCAAAAAATTATCAATAGAAAATTAATTTTTTCCAAATATTGCATTTTTCTTTCCCTGTTATAAGCATACTGTTAAGTTTGAAATAAAGTATTTTAGAATATATGTGTTGCATTCAAACTCATGTATTAAGAAATTAACTTTGGGAAATGTTTTATATTTTTATAAATTTAAGATAATATTTTATATTAGACTTGAAAATTACAAGAAAGATAGATTGCTTATAATTCTAGTTTTCTAGGTTATCCTAGCATTTCTATTATAACATCAGAGTTTTCCACATAATATAATGAAACAGAAGCATTTTATATCTAAACATGCAGATATTCATAAAAAGGAAACAGTTCAAAATTGTAACTTTAGTTGAGCTTTTCATAATAGATAAAAGATGAGAGACTTTTTGAGAGGCAGATTCATGTTTCAAAAAGCAAGAAGTAAAATCACAGTCTTAAACATAATTTTATTGTATGAGATTTCTACACTTGAATTATCAAGCTATCTAATCCACAACCTAAAACCATTAATCTGATAACAGTTATTATCAATGTGTTCTATTTTTCAGCTAGTACTTTAAAAATAAAAATCATATATAATTGAGATCCCAGTAAGAATCCTAAATTGAACAGGATACCACAAGATACAAAAAGATAATGACAGTTTTCAAGTAAATTATTTCAGAGGAATCCATGAATCTCCAAATAGAGAAGCAGCTTTCTTAAATATTCACTTGACAAGACTATTTATAGGCAATGATTATTTAGTTGAATAAAAGCCTCTTTGATGCCATTAACAGTCTTCTGAATTGAAAGATATGCTATTGACCTAAATTATTTCCTCCCACCAAAAAGACAGAGGTCTTATTTGTCCCTTGTTTATTTAGCACTGATGTGAGACTAAAAAAAAAAAAAAAGATAAAGAAAAAAAGAAAGAATGCCAGCCTGTCTTAACAATTAAGGCAGGTTTACACCCAGTGAAATGACCAGAATATGGCCCATTTAATGATTCATTCAGATTGCAAAATGACTGCATTTAGCTAAAGCACATACAGCAAACAGATTAGACTGGCAGAAGGAAGCTAAGAAAAACTGGTTTGGTCATGTTTGGATTCAGCTGTTTCAGCAAATGCAGGCCATGCCTGGAATAGAAGTCCTGAAAAAAGAAAATATCTGATCATGCCTAAAGCAAAGCCAAAATACATGTATACAAATGCATACACAGATACACTGAAACTCTAACTGCTTATTATACAGATCAATCTAAAAAATCTATAGATGTGTTTGGTATCACTATTTGAAATTATTTCCTATTGAGATTTTTTCCAATCAATGATACCTCTCAAGGGCTCATGTGTCTTTAAAAATATAATTTTACATATTTTAAAATCTCAACTTCAAAGATGGTGATTTAAGTTATAAATAAACTGGTTTTCTAATATTCTAATAAGGGCACTGGTATGCAGCAAACTAAGGTCAGGATTTCAGTGATTTTTTCCTCATAACTGTCTATATAAGATGTTCTGATATAATATGCAAGATGCCCTCTAATCAATATGACAACATTTGCAATATTAACAAAGCCTGGTTTTCCATTTCTGACAACATATATTGTTGCTTAAAATATAAGCTCTTCCAGGTTACCTTTGGCTAAATGACTACATGTACCAACTACCCTAAGTCAGGTCAGAACCACACTTGGTACCATAAGCAAACAAGCTCAGCTGATGCAGAGAAAAGATTCTTCTCTGCTCCCTTATTTAACATCCATTCATCACTGACAGTTACTCAAGCTATTTTTTCCTTTAATATTCATACAACTTAGCATTCTCTATTGTGAGACTTGAAAAGGGAAAAACTAAGCAATAGTTTTCATTATCTTTTAATTGCCTTTATATTCCCTTATTGCATGCTAATTTAAGTAACATTAATTACACAACAATACTCTGTCCTTTGCTTTAGAAACAGATTTTGAGCACATACCTATATACAGTTTCATTTTACTTTACTGTCCTTATAGGAACTCAGGAGGTTGATGGACATTTTTTGCTGAGTGCATATTTTCTTTTTCAATTCCATATAAAATGACTAATGCAGGTGTTAAAGGGGGAAATGTAGAATTTATGTTTCAATTTAACAGTAATTCTCACATGCTTTACATGTGACTATAAAATATGTTTCCACCAGGGACTCTAGCCCTTAACTTTGTTTTTACTTCAAGATGAAAGTTTTGACTACTTATAAATCATTTTCATAAGGATGTAGTTACAATCCTATCTAATTTAAATGAGAAAATATTTTAATCAGTGTATCAATATAATGAAAAAGTAAACAAAAAATAAGATAAAAATATGTAAGATATGCAAGCAAGATGGAAACCTTGGTTACACACAGGTAAATGGCCATACATTGGGTTATGATTTATGTAAATTTTACTGTTATAATCATGAAGAGGTCAAAAGAGGAGAGGACTGTTTGTCACTGAATGACATCCCTGTCACATTCAAAAAGAAATTACATAAGCAATTTTTTTTGTTTTAACAACAGAAAACACAGTACTAATTAATGTCTCCCCAAGGTCAGAAAGCTTAACATATGCTTATTAAGAGGCTTTCTTTCATCATATTTGCTCCATGAAAAAATTAGCAAATAAAATGTCTAATCTTAGAACTCTAATGAAAGGCTGTACATGTGTCAGATGCTCACATATATGTTAAATGAAACAAAGATCATACAATAAAGAGTTATGGTACTGATTTTGAGGTTAATGCCTTAGGCAGAATTTTCAATGTCTTTTTAGAAACATTCAAGTCCCATTTTTGAATAAAACAATTAAAGAGAGCTCATCCCGCATTTCCCTAAATTTTAGCATTTTAATCTGAAAAATGAGTATATAACTTAGAGTGTGCTTTACTTTGGTTCTTTGAAAAGGAAACAATATGAGAATAAATGAAAACATGTTCTACATAGCAACAGAGTGAAAATCAAAAGGTGAAGAGCTTCATATAATCTTCATTACATTCAGCCTCACTTTCACAAACAAAAACAATAAGTGAGCCAAAAACACTAATAAACTCATCTCATTAAAAACATGACATGATTATTCATACATTATTATCTGTACTTTGCAGTCAGATCTGGTTATATAGATTTACTGCTGTATTTGCCTTTAGGTATTTGAAAACTAACACTGAATGTACACTCTGCATTTTCCTAAAGCATTTTACTGTGAACAATAACTTGAGTGCAAAATGAGGAGAGATTCATCAGAATTTCAAAGTAAAACCCTATGCATCATCTAATTCTATTGAAAACAATGCTCATGGCAAATTTCACTTATCACTCAAAACATATTTCTGCCCTTGGATACCAGAAGCAAATTAACAAACATGCTGTTGTTCTGCTCTGGCAGAGCTGCAATGTGTTATGTTTAAATAGTTCAGCATTCAGAGTTAGCTTGCTTAAAGTATAATATGAAATAAACATGATCGTAGAATTAGGGCAAAATGCATCAGGAATTGCCACTGCAATTACTGTACTGAAATAACATTAACAGGATAGCCAAATAATTTTAGAATATATTTTCCAATGAATATATATTTTCTTCTCCATTGAACTTTTTGAATGTAAAATATGCATGTTTTAAATGTAAATGTGCATCTATACACATTATTTATATATACACACATATAATATACACACCACATACAGTATCACTGCATGTCTGTGTATACACACATATAATAGATATATACATACATACATAGTGATTTTATGATCTCTACATACGAAAATATTTTTCTTTATAGAAATGTAAATAATATATTTCCCCATTTCAAAAATTCATGTTTTTTAACAAAATAAAATCAATCCTGAAGACTATTTTTGGAAGTACCTTAAGATGTGAACAAAGCAACATACTTCATTAAAACCCTATGTTTTTCCTTCTGATAAGTATTTTCAATGAACTCTACTTTCAAAATTTTTGAGACTCACACAGATTTTATTAAAGTTCCTATTAAGCAACCTTCTTTATATCAAATTAAGCTGTTCAATAACAATTATGAGGCAGCTGACATATCACATAAAATAATGAAAAAAGCTAACAAAACTGAATATTAAAAACATTAAAACATTCATGCCAGCACGCACTAGACATGTAGCTTTAATATAAGCTTAGTTTAAGCTGTGACTAAGCTATATTTGTGTCTTCTCCCTCAAAATCCAAAGTTTTCATATAACAGACTATATAGTAAGAGGAGTAACTACAAATTTCTGTCAATTTTTAGTAAGTGCACAAAACAACCTCCACCCCAAAACTCAATGGATTAAGTCAGAGCCTTCTATCTTTAGTCTGTCCTGTTTATTAATGGAATTCTCTCTAATTATAAACAATTTTGAAATGTATACTAAATGTGTAAAAACACATGTATAATTTTTTCTGAATAGTCTCTATGAGTACAATGAGACAAGAACCTGAAGATCTGAGATTTATTTTTAAGCAGATAACATTAAGCTCATTATGTTGGTGGCAGGAAACTGACTACTTACAGATTTGGCTGTAGCAGAAATATACTGGACAACCATTTCATGCTTAGTGGTAAAATCTTTGTTTCGTAAAGGAGCTTTTCGTTCTTCATTAAGGTTCATGTCCTCCTGTTAAAAAGAACATTTATTAGAAGCATTAGCAAATTTCTGCTTAAGAGCTTCAAAGTGATTAATAAATATTAATATTCTGTCTTAAAACAGTAAGTCATGCTGTGACTAACAATAATAGTTATTTTTACAGATACTTTGCTATTATTTTCCACTCTAGATAACATAATCTTGTATAAAATCTATCATATATTCATGGCCCATATCTGTACCTAGTCAAATAATAAGCAGAATGAAAATAATTTTAACTATTCTACAGAATAAATTGGCAATTTATAGTAGAGATATACATCATGCAGCCTTAGCAAAGCTCTATTTACCCTGATAGCAAAAAAAACAAACATTAAATAACAAACACATAGTTTAGTATTTGGTGTATACTCCCTTAGGATCACTATTATTTAGACGAGCAAATATGATTTGTAAATTAAAAGAAAATATATATCTATAATATGTCACTGAAGAAAAATTCACAAGAAGCAGCTGGATTTGGGAAAAAAAGGTAGAAACATAGTCAGCTGTATTGGGATAACAATAACCCCTCACTGGAGGGGAAAATGTGCAGTTTTAAGAACATGTTTTAAGATTTGATAAGCTTTAATTTGGTTGGGAATCTTCCTTTATTTGGTGATACACATGTAACATTTTCACTAGACAAATCATTTTCCTTCATTTTGAAACTCCTGTTAACCCTTGCAAAATAATAAGTTACTCTTGGGGGTCACCAAGTTGGAAATGATTTCACCTACAGAATGGGTGAAAATGTTTACAAATCATGTCTAATTCAGTATTTCTATCCTGAATATATAAGAACTCTTACAAGTCAACAATAAACTAATTACAAATGGGCAGACGATCTGAACAGACATTTATCTAAAGAAGATCTAAAAATGGCCAATAAGCACATATTCATTATGGAAATGCAATCAGTACTCATTAGGGAAATGCAAACCAAAAGTACAATGAGATAACACTTCACTCCCAGTGGGATGGCTGGGATAAAAAAGATGGTAATAAATGTTGGTTTGCATGTGGAGAAATGGAGAATGAGAAACAATGCAGCTACTTTGGAAAACGGTCTAGCAATTCTTCAAAAAGTTACACATAGAGTTGCCACATGACCCAGCTTATTATACATGAGAAATAAAAACATATGTCCACACAAAAAGCTTGCACATGAATATTCATAGCAATATCACCAAAGAGTAGAACCAGTCCAAATGTCCATCAAGTGATAAACGGATAAACAAATGTAATATGTCCATATGATGGAATGTTATTTAGCCATAAACAGGAATGAAATACTGATAAATAAATGAATCAAAAAATCACATTATGAAAAAAGCCAGGCACAGAAGACACATATAATATGATTCCATTTATGTTAAATGTCCAGAATAGGCAGCTCTATAGTCAGAAAGTGGAGTAGTAGTTGCCAGGAGCCAGGAAGAAGGGATGGGCAGATTGGGGTATGACTAATGGTGGGTAAAGTGTTTGTTTTTGAGGTGATAAAAATGTTCTAAAAGTTACTGTTGTGATGGTTGCCTAACTTTTTGAATATACTAAAAAACACACTGAACACTTTTAGAGGGTAGAATTAAGATATGTAAATTGTATCGCAATTTTTAATTGATTTTTCCCTTTATTCTCTTAGTAATTCTGCCATTACTGTTTTCCTTTTTTAATCAAGTAAACTAATTAGCAAAGAATATTAAAATTATTTTAAAGACTCATATGTGAGAATGTGGGAGGAAAAAACAAAGGATTCATGAAAAGTAATCAAACTACCTGTTATCAATTGAATAGTAATTTCACTAAGTCAGAATCTCATGATCTAAATTTGTACCTACTGCAGTAAGTCCTATGATGATTCATTCAATCAATACTTATTAATTTAGCATGTATGTATATGGCCACTCCTCTGATCACCTTTACCACTGCCTCTACACCTACTTTCCTATCTTCTCATCTTATTTCTCATTTGTATGTCACACTTGTTAATGACTTACTTGAAAGCAGAAGAGATCTTTTGCCTATTTTTCTCTCTTATAGGCTATATTTAGCATTGTTGAATCAAAGTAGAATCAGAGAAATGAAGTTGGATGGTACTTTTGAGGTAGTCCACAAATGTGGACTATGTTCTATATCTATGTTCTATATCTATAACTATATCTATATCTACAACTCCATCTATGTTCTGTGTCAATTTCAACTAACAGGGAATTCACTACCACAGCAGGCCACCCATCCCATGTTAGGGTAGTTTAATTTTTGCTAAGGTTTTCTTTGGACAACTGGATGTGAAATATGTACAACCAAATAGTAATAGTACACTAATGTGGCAGGACTGTGTCATCATTTTTTTCCTCTACTTTTTAAATTTTGAATCACTTATTTACTGGACACATATCATGCACCAGGGGCTATGCTAGGCTGGCAAGGGGAGTGCAATCTTAAAAGTCTGCTAGTACCACAAATTAAATGAACTATTATTTATGAAGCACTTGGGACAATGCCTGTTAACTAGTAAATGCTCTTTCTTAAATAAAAATAAATAATTCATGGTCTAGTATAGAAAGTGGAAATATAAAGCAATAATTATAATAAAGACATGAAAATGATGCTTGGGGAACAGGGAGGACTGATGGAATGGTCAGAAAAGTCTTCGCCAGGATTTCAGTGTTGAAAGCTGAGAAAAAAATCTTAGTGACGGCGAGGAGACCAGCTAGGAGACCAGAATCGTCAGCTGTCATGTGTGCCTGCCCAGCAGCATCTGAACATGCCTACTATATTTATCACCCTCACAGTGTCGGTTCTGCCTAACCAAGGAAGAATCTATAAAAACTACATTTGCCAGTCTCCCTTATAACTAGGATACAGGCATATGGCTTAGTTTCCACCAATGAAATGCATTTATAGGAGGTGTAGATTCAGAAGGGAACTACATAAAGAAGCAGTTCACTAGTAAGCCATCCATTTTGCTGGTGTGGTTGGCCACAGAGGTGATATGGTTATTGAACTGATGGCAGCAGCTGTATCTTTTTTATATGAGTTTGACCAAGCGGTTTTGGGGTGGCAACAGCTCCTTAGTTAGACTGTTTTTCAATTGTGTGGTTCTAGAAGTTATTCCTATAATGATCTGGAGCCCGTTTCTGCAAACTAGCTGATTCAAGAGAGCTACTTAATATCTATACATATCTTTTTAAAATATTTTATTGTTGTTCAAGTACAGTTTTCTGCCTTTTCCTCCCAGTCCTCCCTACCACCCCAGCCCTCCCTGCCTCCCTCTCCTATTTCCACCCCCACCGCATTATTGTCCATGTGTCCTTTATACTTGTTCCTGTAAACCCTTCTCCTTTTCCCCTGAAACTCCCTCCCCTCTCCCCTCCTGGTCACTGTCATCCTGTTCTCAATTTCAGTACTTGGCTATATTTTGCTTGTTTGTTTGTTTGTTTGTTTTGTTGATTAGGTTCCTTATACATATGTTAATAGCATATTTTTTTTCGTTTTAAGCTAGCTTGAGTGGATTCTGTTATGTTCTGCAATTTGGACAATTAAAGTAATTCACATGACTAATGATAACAGTCTAAACTAAGAGATGATAGTCAGATTGAACACAGGGAATAAACTCAACAACCATACAAATGTTATTTGAAGGCTGCACTCTCACCTTCACAATAAAGTGTACCTATGAGCTTCAAATTATCTTCATGTGACACAGCTTAGCGTTTATCTCTCTCTCTCCTAATCTCTCTCTCTCTGTGTGTCTCTCTCTCAAATACTCTGTGATTTGATAAACACAAGGAAGGAAAGGACTTCCACCTCCTTCATCTAGAAATACTATACCACTATTAATTCAGATTTTATTACTGTATTGGCAAACACATCACTCTGCTAACTCACATTGTGTTTGTTGCCATTAAAACCCCTATGTACTGCTCACATATATGCTAGGCCATGTCTATACTGCCTCAAAACATTCTAGTTAAATTACAGTCTCCTACAAATGTGGTTAGCATAAATCTGCATAACCCAAGGAGAATCAGTTCTGGAACACTTCTGGATTTGTGAACTTCACCACCAGACCTAAAAGTATGTTATTGCCGCCTATGGTAGTCTCTGGGTAGAGAATTTGCTCTCCTTTCAATGACATTTCTACATTACAATGTATCTCCATTCAATGTTTAATGGTATACACTGCTAAGATCATGCCATTAGAGTAGAATCTTTTTGCATTGAGATAGGCAGGGTGGAGAATATGAGATTAGAGACCTCAGAAGAATGTTGTCAAGATTAAGCATTATCATGTACTTCAAGCCTGGTGTACAGGATAGGGCAAAAGTATTCTTGTATTATTATTAAATAACTGTATTATTTTCCATATGAACTGTAAACCTACTCTTCCCCACCCTGTAGATTAACTAGCCTTCAAAAATGTTAGCTATTAGTGTTAGCATCACCCCCTCAAGTCTCACTTTTTGCCACTTTTAATCTTACCCCTTATCTTTCAATAATGCAGGGCTGTTTGTAGTTTTCCTACATACACTACGCTGTTACCCACTCCCAATACTTTGCACATGATGTTCTCTCTGCCTACAGTGCTGTTGTCTTCACCACCCTCTCCCTCTATTAGCCCCATCTCATCTCATCTCACTCACCCCACCCAGATCCGTATGTGAATAACTCATACGTACACTAATTTTTTATATTTCCCTCAAATACCTCATTTCAAAATGACTATCTTCATTCTATTCTCCCATATGAATTCCAATATTGCACCACTTAAATTGAAACTATCTGAAAAAAAGCTGTCTCCCCTAAACTATAAACTCCCTGAGGACAGAAACTGGGTCATTTATATCTATATACTCCCAGCAAAGAGCATAGCTCCTGGAGTGCAATAAGCACTTAATAAATATTTGTTGAATCAATGTAATATTTAGGATCTTTTCTCTAAATACTTTAATTTGCTTAATATCCACCAAGATTTTCTATACCTA